AGGTGAGCGCGCATACAATCCGTTGCTAGTAATTTGCAGTGGAATTGCACTTTTGCGACGTACTAGTACGATGACATTTCTCAGTCAAGACAAAATAGGTTGCAACTCTCGCACAACAGACGGCTAATTACAAGTCGTCAACAAAAAACGATCTCGACATCGGGTCTCATTCATCCAGCCATGAATGACCGACATCGTTACAGATTCACATCAAATTCGATCGGTTGTTGTCGCCGTTCTGCCCTAGTTTACTGAACGCCAAATACTAAATCAAACGTAATTGAAAAATATAACAAAGACAAAGGCGAGCCGCAGACCGAGGCTGATGAACTCCACGTTGAAAACCTTGATGGTCTTACGCGGTGCGTGCGAAAGACAGTACAGTCCGCTTCCACGGCCGAAGAACGTGGTCCTCTTCGTTGCCAGCCCGAGAAGAGCGACTAGACCGTGAAGGTCTCGCCTGGCTGAACGAAACAAACGAGACCTTCTCCTAATGAGAGAATCTTCATAACCCACTCACCTGCGAAAAATACTCGCCGCTCAAAACTAAACCTAATTAGATTAGAGCCAAGCCACCAAATCCTATTTTCGGATACACAAAAATCTTCAATGAATTATTCAGACCGAACATTAAGCGGCAACCATCGGTGTCAGACAACAGGTTACAGAGATAAACGACAATCGGATAAAAACAAAGGTCGCGCTGATAAAACGTACTAAGCCAGTATTTACGACGAAGACGTGGAACCAATGTTTCTGAAGGCTGCGGTATACAGACGCAAAAAAACCACACTGACCTTGTCAAGCGGAATTGGTTTTGGCGGGAAACGACTAACGAATACAGCTACAACGAGAAGCAGGACGCAGGAACGGTTACAAAATAAAACTTTCAAAGTTCTGCTTCGGAAAAGATTTTGAAAAAGAAAAACAATGTCCTATATTACGATTGGCCTCCATCTAAAATACTACACTTTAGAAAAGTACGGTGCTTGCAATGAAATGTTGTTGGGCTCTCAGTCTAAACAACATTGGCATTATAACAAGTTAAACGAAGCACAAAAAACGATTTTTTGGCAACACTGGTTCACCTAATTAGCGTACATTTAGTTTTTTTTTAAGACGTGATTATTCTTCAATATATGTCAAGGTACAGAAAACCTAAATAGAAATTACGATAATGATCAAGCATGGGTAGTAGTTACATGTTGCGATTTCTTCGATCAATGGCAAACTTTTTAGATAGATATAACAGTCCTGTTATTAATTCTTTGCATTCTTTTAATTACCTTTCACTTTTCAATTCTCGCATTATTCCTGTCAATTCTATAAAATGCACAGACCATTTACTTGACCGACCGCTCTAAAATACACCACAGGTATTATATCCTAGTAACAGTCACCATTGAATTCTTCGGAAAACTAGCCGCTCAAAATGAGCAGTCGGAGCGCATATATAGCAACAGCTGAGAATAAAGTGGGCGTTCAATCTAAACAAGGCGATGTCTGGATGTAGAAGGCCTAGTGAAGGCTGTCTACATGCAGTGAGTCATTCCAACAAACCGTCAAACGCTAGCCCCTCTATGCATCCGCTTGGTTCCATTTATATCTTCTAAAAGAACCGCTATGGCGAGCAGTAAAATTTAAATAGAAAAAGAATCCATTTTTGCGGATCTATCGAACCAAGACATGATTGTACCTATCAAGGTAACCAAGTGAGCAAAATTTTTGTTTATCGTGTGAGTAATAGAATGGTTGTCCGTTACAAATAACTATATTGATATCTGCTTCCTCTACTTGTTGACCGACTTTGATTTGTAAAGGAAATTCCGAAAAAGTGATCGTATGTGACGGCCCAATTCAAAACTCTTTGCTGAAGGTCCGGGTCTTTATTCTCCGAGCGCAGAAGGTGGATCACCGGTACATTTGGAGATTCAGCTTAAATATGAGACGATCATGAGACCATTCACTATCCAACGTGGTCGTCTACGTCTAACCTAAATGGAGTTCATTCATTCTCGACCTACCGTAATGTACATCGTACGCACCTATCGCAGACTCGTACCGGTCGTATTATCGTATTCAGTCGCGCATAAACAAACAATTCGACATTAGGTTCCGATTTACGATAATTCTCTATATGCAATATGGGATTCCTTCGTCAAACAAGATTACAACTATCTAACTTCTCAGACGTGCTCCGAATTCGACCTTCCCTTTCCCCGTTTCGATTCCGATGGTTGGTCGCCACAATAGCAAACAAAACCACATAGCACTGAACTACCAGATAAAATAGGCTTTGTGCGATTTCATTCATGCCTTGGTAAATTCAAAATGTAACTTTTACAGCAACAGATCAATTAATTGGATTTTCCCAAGGCTAGCCGTCATTCACGTGGTGAACGCAGTTGCATGCCAGCCAGGGTCGTCACATTATTTCGAGTAAAGTACGAAATCGATGTCATTTCACAGCGAACCACGCGATTCTCGTCCCTCGTTTCGTGGATTTTTTTTCGGATTTGAAAGGACAGTAGGCTGACGGAAACTTCAACACCACTCACGAGATAACCCGCCATTGCGGACCACGTATTATCTGCATACGGTACACATTGCCTTGTCTCGCAGACACATTTATAATAGGCTTCACCAGCAGATAAAGGCGGCCAGACTGTATTAAAATACCCTGACCCAGTTTCTGACAGTCTGGCGACCGCAGAACTCCGAGAATAACGATCTACGCCCTGAAAATCAATTTTTCGATACAACACATCGGTTAAAGGACATCGCTGTTTTACACGTGTCGGAACGACGACGGAATTAATGAGGCGTGCACACAAAATATCAAAAGAATAATCGATACCCGGCTTTTACGAACTACTCGGCTTTTTACCTGAATTTTTTCCGGGGCGTGGAAGTAGGCGCAAAAGTATACTTATACCGAGACTTGATATAATAATCAATACCCAAATGGTCGGCAGCTGGTTCTTTTCGGGGTATTTAGAACGTCTCATTTACGTTTACCTACACGTGTTTATAAAGTGTAGTTTTCACACAACTAATCTCTCAAATACGGTGTAAATTCGTATTCGTAACTTATAACTGAGATGCTATCGTATGGAATTTAATTAAGCCATATATGACGCAATGATTTCCAATCCTCACTCAATATTGATATCTTGGGAAAGCGTAGAAGACTTTGGACCTTAAAGTTCGATCAAACATGTAGTGCGAGTCCCACTGCGACTCGTAAAATTGATCGCACTATATCTTTAACTCAACTATATTCGTATGATATGCCTACTTTTTAGGTCGAAAAGATCAAGATTAGCAACCTGCCAGTTCAATGTCTCTCTAAGCTAATCTTTGAAAATGAGCTCTTTCAAACGTTCCAAAGGATCTTTAAAACTGTAAGTTGCTTGTATTCTCAGCAGAACTAATTCACTTCCTAAAATTCAGACAGTTAATTACACCGTCTGCAAACATTCTATTGTTGTGATAAGGTGCTTTTACAACACCTTCTTTGAATAGGTCATGGACATGAGCAATTCTTAATTTCAGGTCGTAAATATGTCTCCCAGCTAACAATAGAATACTAAATGTACTATAGCTAGTTCCGTCGAAGCGAGTACAATAACTTCCACAAAATAAAACTATTACCACACACTTTCTTTTCCAATCGTAACGGTAAATAAGCTTCAGCCGTAATTTTTTCTGTTCTTCCGTTACCAATGCATTCCATGGAGCGTACTCGGCAAATTCCTTGCGAATTTGTTCTGCAAACACAGTGAGAGGTTGCGTACGCCTCTTTCCGGAAATGAGTGTGGTACTAACACAACGCAGTTGGATTTAAATGTCCGGGACATTTAAACTACCAGCAGCGTACAATGTGCGTCCGGCACGATGAGCAACATCCGTGAAGCGAAGCATACATACAATCAGCTGGTGGCCGTGCTTTGTGATTTCGTCGGCTCTTTAAACTTGTTTGTATTGGACTTCATGTTTTCTGGGCAGTGACCTTCATGCAGCACCAGCAGAAGCACAGGCGTTACTTGGTTACCTCAGAAGCAGTCGAAGACGTTGACCAGATCTACTACAACACGCAACCTCAAGCAGGCCCAAACAAAGGACGCTAACTAAGGCTGGTGGCGATGGAAGCTCAAGGAAGAAATTTTCTCTTTTGCGATTGTCAATTTGGTCTGATGGGGGAAAGAACCTTGGTATCTGCGATTTATGAATGGTCACGTAATGAAAAAGTTTTAGATGACTTTGGTCAAAAAGTCACAAATCTCCTTAGGAAGGTTGACGGACGTCCACGTCGTGTGCCATACCCTTCCTCACCCGGTCGCTTCAACCTTAATTGTTTATTAATTAGTCTGCCACCTGTTATCATTTGTGGGAACATCCGAAGGCCACTTGTGTTTTTGAAATAATTGTCTAGTAGACGATCGATGAGGCGGCTATTTCAGTTGATTAAAAAAACGTTCGTATACCCAGCGGTGTGTATATATTATTTAGTGGATGGTCTAACAGTCGTCCAAAAATAACCACGTCTAGACAGTGACGGCCGTAATTCCAGCAGTACAACAGACTCGCAATCATATGATCGCCTATTTTTACACTTTCTGATCAGCTGATGCGCAGCGAGAAAAATAATTGGACGGAGCCATAGCAAAACAAGTCGGTTGTTCTCACACACGAAAAGTTTCACCACAAAGAATTCCCACGAAAAATCGCGGCAAAAACGCGATGTTTAGATACTTTGTAGTGACGATAGCGTCAACCGAGCTTCCTGTTGTATTTCCTTTTTGTCAGATCGCATCATCGCAACCGACATAAATAGATACACATATAAAAAAGTATGCATGTAGAATATAATAATGTTGCATGACGGCAACAAAAGAGAATGATTTTTTCCGGGTCATTAAGCGCAAATTTCGAAACAACGCAGGTGATTGGCACGAAAATGAATTTTCGCGAAAGACGTAGACGAGAGCGACCCCTACCTTGCTTAATTTTTCTCCCTCGTGATGCGGCAACAAGGATCTGAGTGATTGAAAACCATTATTTATGCTCTGCATCCTCCGCCTTTCGTTGCTGTTGGCGATTTCTCTTCGGATTCTCTTTTCTGCCTCCATCGTCGCCGTGGGTGGTTCACCGCCTTTGTTTATTCGACTGTAAACAATTCAGCGATTAAATTAAAACGTCCCATGGCTAATAAATCAAAATCGTTTGTTCATGTTAATTAGCATTAGACATATAGCCCTCCAAGCGTGGCCCGAATCAACGACTTGGAGAGTAATAGACGGACCTAATTAATAATAAATTGACCCAATTACAAAAGACAACTATTTCCATTCCGTGAACTCTCCCTTTCTAAACGAAAAATCTTTGTGTACAATGCCACCTGCTCGAATTCTCTCATACAATTTTCAGAAGGTTTAGAATTGGAACAACTGACGACGTCCTTCTTGAAACATTAATAAATAACTCTCTATTATTATGATATCCTTCATTATACCGAAAACTACGAGTGGAACTTTCTAGGTTAGGGGTTATTACAGGTTTTTGCACCGCATTCGAACTTTTTTACCGGCGCATCCACCAAATGTGAATCTTTTACGACTAACGCTACGCAAACGGTGCTAATTACGGAACACACGTGCCGTAAAAAATGGCCGCCTGTATGCTCTTTTGACAGGTATAACATGAAACACGCCACGAATCGATATCTGGGTTGTCAAGAGTAACACAAAAGTAAAATTCCTAACCAGTGCATACGACTACGTAGTTCGTGTGATAAACAAACAAAAATTATGCCATTACAAATCGATCGAACTCTGCGTGACAAATGAGAGGATATCGTGACGATTTTGTGTAAGGACAAAACGTGATTGAATGAAACGGAAAAAGTACGACGTTTCCGATAGGAATTCACCATTACGATAGTAGAAGACCGACGTGGCAATGATATTTCTAGTATTACTGAGTTGGGCGATTGGAGTGGACAATGTCGTACGGAAAATAAATAAAATATATCTGCTTACATGATACGTTTCATTAGGATCGTTACGACAATAGCTCTCGAAAGCTATACCGGTAAATGTGTAATAAAATATTATAGCTAAAATAGAATCCATTTCTGGGCCGTTGGCACAATTTATTACGACAGAGTATATTCAATTCAATTATGCCATAATATAGATGTATGTCGTTTTTGATGTTAAGTAATTTTGACGTGTACCTTCAGCCTGAGAACTTCCCCGCAATTGAGTGTCGCTCATGACGCATTCATGTGTAAGTAAATTAATGCGCATTTCACATAAAATAAGAGCATGACAACGTCTTGAAACATTACACCAAATTAATGTTTTTAGGTAACATATTTTATGAAAAATTCTAAAAATTTTGATCCAAATTTAAACCACAGTAATGTGTCATTTACTATATAAAATTTTGAATTGACGTCATCTAGGTTTTGGAAGGGATGAATAGATAAATCCTAAGTAGTGATTTATTATGTTCGCAACAACCTTAAGGTTGTTGTGCAAAAATTCAAAACAGACAGTTTTGAATTTTTTAAGATAAATAGTAAAATTCTGTTGTACACTTTTTATTTTTTTCCAAAAACGTACCTACGTAGGGTAAACAAACATTGAAGTAGATTTAATAGTTACTTTGCAGATTTAAAATTGGAATTACTTAGGTGGACAGTGAAATTTTGGTTTGCGTTTTTCCATTTACATGGAAATGGCAGACCTACTTTTACATATTTTTTCGAGAACCCTTATAAGTTAAAATAAAGATATGTGTGTACTAAAGGTAGGTCAGCTATTCGCATGCTTCAATTGAATGTTTCCATTCCAAAACTTTCTAGTGACGTCATCAACATTCTAGCAAGGACATTACATCAATTTGGGCAGGTGGAGTATAAGACTAACAGTAACAGTTCTATATTCCCAAATTTTCTGGAATATTGGGAGAGCCATTCTTGATTTAATCAAGATACGGATACAAACGCATTTTTAGAAAAAACCATAAACTCAGAACAGGAAGCAGCGACGGCCAACGGTCATAATTTCCGATTGTTTCTGCTTATCTGACAACTTGCCTAATTCTTTGAATGCTAAAAATATTTTTAACATTCTGTAAATAATGAAAAAACGAGATTTCCTTAATATTAAAAATATAAATATGTACAATAAGTATCATTGTGTATTCTATCTTTTTTTATATAAAGTAAAAAAAGAACAATTAATTCGCAAAGCTCTCGTCATATGAAAATAAAAGTCAAAGTAAAATACATCATACCGATTTTACCTCAAATTTTGAAAAAAAGTCAAGTTCGAAAATTTACAAAAAATAAAAATTTGATATGATTTAAAAAAGAAAATTTAAATATTAAATACGACACAATTAACAATATGTAAATATGTAAAATCAGGGCAAAATTCCTAAACCACAAGTAAAGGAGTATGTTAAAATATGTTATGTATAACTTTACCTGGAATGTCTAAGCAAAATTTTGAGATAACGTCATCAAATTGTTTAGTGGGGACGATTACACGAATTTTGATTAGCGTTTTAGTTTTCTACTTTTTCGTACTCAAAGGTCATCAAACATTGAAAAAACATGAAAGCGTCGGATGAACCCTATACGCACTTTTTTAGCTGCGCTCGGGAAGTAAAATATGTTAACGAATTAATAAACTACACGTATATTACTTTACGCATTTAAATTAGATTTACTCAGCAAACTTTTGAGATGACGCCACCATAATTTTTGTAGGAATGCACAAATAATCAGGTTGATAACCTCAACAAACATGTGCTAAAATTCAAACGAATTAGTTTAGTTATTTCTAAGATAAATTGTACACTTTCGTTGTACAACTTTGAATCTTTTCCAAGACCACACACGCGTAAGAATTTCCACACTTTAGATGGGATTTATATTGTAAAATTTTGAGATGACGTCATCAAGTTTTTGGAAAGGATAAACAAATAAGTTTGGATTTACCTAAAGGCATTTGCAAGATTTCTCAGGTATGGTATTTTATGTGAAAAACGTCAAATTTTGTTTATATTATAAAATATAAGTATGAATTATCTAGCAAAATTTGGACATGACGTCACCAAATTGTAGTTGGTCAAGTCTTCAGTCACCATTTTTGAATTCAAAACTGTCTAGCTTTAAAATGACGTATTTTTTAAAACCAACGGATATGTTTAAAAATTGATAGAAAATATTTCCATGTAATATTTAACAAATGTAGATTGCCACTGATTCTATGACAAAATGTTTTTGTACTTCGGGATATAAACTAAGTTTTGCTTATAATCTCTACTTTATTATATTCCAACTCTGTGCATGGACAACTGGGGATAATTTACTTCTTGCTACGGTCAAATGGGCAAGAAATGGTGCCGGTCGAAGTTCATTATAATCAACGTTATTATAAAATGGCGGCTTGTGTTAGCTACGCAAATTATCAATATTTTACACTTGTATTTAATATGTTTTCACGAATAAAATAATTTTGTAATTTAGGGTTATAGAGGATGTTTTGATCAATTTATAGTATGATTATTATTATTATTGTTGCAAAAATAATACCATGCAATCAGTTTCTTCATCTTTTTTCAGAGTTATGAAACACATTTATTGTAAACAATAAAACAACTAGTTTTTTCGTGACTCATAAGTCGCTACTTCACCATTGATTCATATTGAGACCCGACCGGCGCCATTTCTTTTTCATTCCAGCCCAGCAACAACAGTCAAACCAAAGAGTTAATTAAGCCCAAATTTGTATTAATACTTTTTATTTGCATATAGATGTAGTTCGAATTTATTGATACTAGTGGGTTACGAAATCGTCTAAACTACATCTCCGAAGGAATGTCTCGATTCCCCTGCTGGTTGTTTGGAAGTAAAAAAAAAGTGGCGTGGCGTAGCCCCGATCAGCTGATTAAAGGTATATTTATATCGCATCCACCGACTTCCCACATTGCACGCCACGCCATAAAATTACAAGGGTCGTACATCAAAAACGAACTTTCTAATCCGACAAGGCCTCAAATGCCACATGCAGCCATTACTGGGCTAATGACATCGTAAATTCGTTTGACGTATCAGGCACGATTAGAAAATTAGTGGCAAACACACATCGCATTTGAGAAATGGCTAGTACGTAATCGTTGCAACGAACGTACCAGCTGACACCGATAAGAAGGATGATTAATTCGCATGCGAAGACGTATATTTCATTTTGAAACGGCGGGGTCTATCCATTGGCAGTCTAGACTGAAGTCATACAAATAAGCACCAACTTAGTCAGCCGTCGTGCGGGCGTCGCTCCGCCAACGCTCGATCATATTACGAAGCGACGCGTCGTCTAAAATTAGCTCAAGGTCTACTTTAATGCAGTACCGCCGAAGATTAGCACGGCAGACGGCAAACAACACGCTCACAAAACGCCCATGTTGTGTTCGGTGATCCCCCGGAGTCAGACTGCTCACGCTGGATGGGGTGGGACGGCTGACGCCCACACTGACACTATTAAAACGAGCAGCGGTGCCACAGAATGCGGGGGCTTTTCGAGACGATTTTTTTTAATTGTGGCTACTGAGGCAGGAGGAATGTGATCGATCGAAGGCACGTTGGTGAACACCATATGTGTAATTGACAGAATTTGGGAGATATATGGGTCGTAGTACGAAGAGGAGCTAATACATCACGTGATGATGAGTCAATCTCTTACTAAACAACTGCTGTAAATATTATTGTTGTGACTCTTCGGAGTTCGAGTTTCAACTTATCGCTAGAATTTTGCTCATACAGAAAGCTAAAGTAGTGGAGGAAACAAGTCATTATAAGATTCCCATGGTCGGAGTCCTCGGCTATATTCAAATTATGTAAAGTAAAAGGTTATACTTAACCCTCCAATGGACATCATAATTTTAATAACCACCAAATTTAAATTAACAAATATACACAGGGTGAGTCACTAAGCGCACGTTCGTCGATATCGCATTAATTGGTAAAAATAAGAAGCCAAAAACGAAAGTTGTGCGGTTCTTTGAGTAACACTATATATTTTTATTTTTACACAGTCTGATTGGCTTTTTCTTTGATTTAAAATTTTTTAGCAATTTAAAAAAAAAATCGCAAC